TCGGCCTAAAGCTTTAGGTGCGCATGGTTTGCATGTGTTCTTAAGGTGCTTTGTTTGTGTGCTTAATGTGCTTTGTTTGTGTGCTTAAGGTGCGCCATTTTAATGCTTAAGGTGCATCAACCGCACGGTTAGCTGTCCCTGCACTTGAACCCTTCCCTATTATTAAAGCGGCCAGCGATGAAGATTGGAAATGACAAAAATGCCCATGCTAAATCGGACCTCTCACCGGCTGAACGACGAAACACGGCCGGAAGGACTTATTCGACAAAAAATAATTGATTTCAGGGATCAAATTGATGAATATGAATTATGGAATTGAGAGGCTACATTGACAGTTCGTCAACACTTGAGTGACCAAATCGTTGATTTTCCCTTTTAATAATGTTCTTCATTCTCAATCTAGTTTTAACACGTTTGTTTACTACCTTCACGTAGTCCGATCATTTCATTAATCATATAAATTCTTTTTTTTGAAGATAATTATCATATAAATTCTTATATTTCATAATACCAAAACTCCCTCAATAGACAAATAAAACTCTTGAATTGTATTTATTTATTTATTTTTTTTTTGAATTTGAACTTTGCAATTTATTTCAAACGCAACAAGGAAAAAAATGATACATAGATTTTGTTGGTAGACATTTATTAGAAAAGTGATTTATTTCACTTTGCCTAATTCCACGGACACTGACTTCTTCTTGTCCTTAGAGTGATTATGGAGTCATTCAACTTGATCCTACTTTTATGCCTCCTATGATCCTACCTTTGCGTCATTAGTGTGGTTGTTAGCTGTGTTCCTTCTGTATAAAAGCAGCAGCACTACACAGTGAAGAGAGACGCCAAAACATTGCATTCCTAAACCTCCAACCTTTGTTGTCTGAGCATATATACATATATTTATGCTGTGTTATCGGTCCGAAGCTACTGGAGATTTGCTGGAAATAGCTTTTAAGGGAGTGTTCTTACGAACACGACACAGTTTATTACTTCATTTCACTATCATCCTCTCCCTGCTTTCATCTCCTTGTTCCTAGAAGTCCAACAGTTAAAAGCTATTTCCCAAACAATGTTGACATACAGGTATTCCAGTACATCCGCCTTCAGAAATACACTAGTACAGATCTGCATATCCGTTACCCTTGTAAAGGGCTATCCGCTACCCTTGTACAAGGGTAGCGGATTTTAGGGTCGCTGAAAACCCTGAGCTTTCCGCTACCCTTGTCAAAGGGTAGCGGAAATGTAAGCATCCGCTACCCTTCTATTTTAGAAGGGTAGCTAATTCTCTTATTTTAATTTATTATTTCAAGTATTCGCTACCCTTCTGCGAATACTATTAATTTATTATATTTTTTTAAAACAATTCGCTACGTGTAGCGGATTGTTTTTTATAAATTAAAAAAAAAATTATTATTATATTTAAATTTCTCAATTTTTAAAAAACCTATACGGAATTCATATACTACATATCAACATAATACTAACCATCAACACAATATTATCAACAAACCATCAAAACACAATATTATCAACATACTATATTATAAATACAATATTATCAATACACAAGCTCATACATGCTGATGGTTATGTCGTTAATCCCTAAAGAGTATACCTGCCTAACTTTCTGTCTTTGATATTTATATGAGCTATAACGGGATGAACTTGAAAAGCTACATTGCGATGTCTCCAAGCTTCTTCTAATATGGCCATAGTCAAGCACCAAGCTGTTGTGTGCTTGTAGTTGCTTTCAGCTGTTGCAGCTGAAACTGAGCTTTTGGACTGTCTTTTTCGCCAGAAATCATTGCTGGATGAGAGGTTTTGCAACTGTGCCTTCCTTTTGGGCTCTCGTCTCCATCAAACCTCTAAACTTGCTTTGCAGCCAAATAGCCTTGCGTGTTGCGATGATGCACCTAAAATATGCTCTGCAGTAACAACAATTGATTAATTAAGCAAATATGACAGGTGAGGAGAGAGCAGCGGCGGCGGAAATGAGCGAGAAAGCTCAGATCTGGTTTTTTTTCGTTGTTTTGTGGTGAGAGAGTCGGTGTTAGCGGCGGTATTTGAGGCTGATAGAGGCGGTGACGACGGCAGAAAGGAGAGAGGAGAGGTGAAGACAGAGCGGCAGCGGCGGAAATGAGCGAGAGAGCTCAGATCTGGTCTTTTTTTCGTTGTTTGTGGTTAGAGAGGCGGTGTCGGCAGCGACGTTTGAGGCTGAGGAAGGCGGTGCTCAAATCTGGCTTTTTGTTCGTCGTTTGTGGTGAGAGAGGCGGTGTTGTCGGCGACGGCGTTTGAGGCTGAGGGAGGAGAGAGCTCAGATCTGAAATCTTTTTTCTGGTCGATCGATTTCTTATGTTGATGGTGGTCTCAGATGTGATTTTTTTATAGTATTAATTTTAAATTAATATAAATATCCGCTACCCTTTCTACAAAGAAGGGTAGCGGAAAGTATATACTGCTTAGACAATCGCTACCTTTTTTAAAGAAATGGTAGCTATTT